ATTCAGTCATGCTGTACTGCCGGAAGCTCCAATACGAATATTTCAGAGTGCTTGGATGTCAATCAGAAGAAATTGTATTGGAAATTTGGAAAGAGTAGATGAGTCTAATGGTGATTACGAAGCTACGGCAGCACGAAAAAGTCATCGTTCTAATCAGAAAAGAGCTCGCGAAATTGTTGGTGAAGTCTTTAGACTCAACACGGAGGCTGCCATGAAATACCTTGAAGACGTAATGCTGCCCTGGATCAAGAGGGTGGCTGCTGGAAGACCCTATGTCTTACAACAGGACTCTGAACCATGCCACAAATTCAGGAAAACGTAGTTATGGCTGTCTGACAATTTCTGCGACCTCATCACTCCATACATCTGACTACCTAACTCCAAAAACGACAACCCCCCTTGATTGTTATGTGCGGGGCGCAGTTTAGCGATAGACCAACAAAACTCATTGTAACACCAAAGATGAACTGAAGGTAAGGATTATGGCAGAATTCATCAACTTAAACGACGAGAAGAAGAGATAGAGGGAATTCCGAAGTCGTCTGGAGACCGTGGTTGAAGCCAATGGCGATTTTAAGTTTACTCTTTATTAGCTGAAGTCATTTTTGTGTAAGTTTAGTAAATCTATCTGTTAAAATGGGATTTCAGTGTTATTTTCATTTTTTGCGTAATTTAGACGACAGTCTATCTATCGCCCCCTGTGTATGTATGTATTTATATATATATATATATATATATATATATATATATATATATATATATATATATATGTGTGTGTGTGTGTGTGTGTGTATAGATAGATAGATAGATAGATAGATAGATAGATAGATAGATAATAGATAGACAGGGACATATAACTTAATTTAATTTACGAGAATTTAACATGTTTTTATTTATAATATAACTAAGAATATGTGAAATTACGAGATTTTAACGGATTTATATGCATGCAGAACTCATGCCCAAAAATGCTTGATATATACCTGAGCTATAATAATAATAATAATAATAATAATAATAATAATAATAATCAAAGAACAAGAACTTTTTTTGTACACCTATCCCTTTAGAGACTCTAAAGTCGGTCTGTTAAGATGAATCAGATAAACTTTATTTATATATCAAATTTCTCTCTCTCTCTCTCTATATATATATATATATATATATGTGTGTGTGTGTGTATATATATATATGCACACACAAATATATATATATATATATATATATATATATATATATATATATATATATATATATATATATATATGCAGATAAAAGCTTGGTCTGTGTCCATGTGCGGATGGGTGTACATATGTTTAACAGCGTTTGATAGTCACGTTAAAAAAAAAACGTTGTAGACGGCGTGGGTGAAAAGTTCTTAAACTAAATATAAGATGAAAAAAACTCTAATAATATGTTATTTGATGAGATATTAGCAAGTGGTTTAGGCCGAGATATTTTCAGCATTCCTCGAGAGAGGCAGATAGATAGATAGATAGATAGATAGATAGATAGAATTATTTCACAAATTTATGCAAATGAACTCAACTGTTTGACGCCCGATGAAGAGACTCAAAATTAATTATTAAAAATGTTAAAACATCAAACATCGAAAGTTTGAAGGACAAATTCAAAAACCACTAATTTAGATTTTAGATACTTTTTCAACTAAGCCAAACGTTTTACATAGTCACATCCATGAATCAGTCAGTACTGAAGAGACCTACTAAAAATGACTTGAGGAGCATCAGCACTAAGTTCTTCAAATTCGTGTCGTAAACGCCCTAATGTCTGTGGCAAATGTTTCGAACAATCGACGTCTCTCTTCAGAATATTATCCTCGAAGTTGAACGTCTTACTCGTGTGAATAAGCCTCATGTCATCGTCACCTGCTGATGCCGCTAACGCTCTTTGCAATCAATTTCCTGGGAGGCGCCGAAGATCGACATGCTTGCATAATCAAGTATCTGGCACTGAGACACGAGGAAAACAGGCCTGTCTAGTTACGAAATATCTCGATCTTCATATATCTGCAAATCAGTGATCGGGAAATTCATTAGTTTTGTTGATGGACCCAACTGGATTCCGCCCTTTACAGCTAAAACCATGAATCAATTTGTGGTTGGTCTGCGGTCAAAACGAGGCTAATATTTGACAATATAATGAGTCTGTGATGCGATGCGACTGATAGTAAAATATTTCATGAGTCATTAGATTGTTTGGTTACTTTCACTTTCGTTTTCTCTTTATTGCATGTTCATTTTGTTTTTGCAGTTTGGTTGTCAGTTATCTAATGTTAATGTACTTTTATTTTGGTGTACTTTCACTTTCATTTTCTCTTTATTGTACGTCCATTTTCTTTTTCATTTTTGTTAATTGTCTAATATTATTTCACTTTCACTTTACTATACTTTCCCTTTCCGTTTACCTTTATTGCACTTTCACTTTTTTCTTTTCATATTTTGTCGATAGAATTCTAATATTAATATAATTATTACTTTGGGGCATTTTCATTTTCTCTTGATTCTGTGTCCTTTTTGCTATTGATGTTTTTCGTGTTCGTTTTCTAATATTATTGTATTATTATTATTGTACTTTAAATTTTTCCATTGATGTGCATTTCCTTCTGGTTCTATCGTTTTTTCTGGTTGAAGCTTCAATTTTGATACTTATAATATCACTACACTCTATAAAATTACATTTTAATTGGTCCCCACCCCCTAGTGTATACTTTGATATCCGAGCACTGTGCAAATCCACATTTTGAGAATTAAAGAAGTGACAAATGTTGCATTATGTCGTGAGGTTCATGATCCCCACAACTCTTTTGAACAGGAGTAGAGGTTTATCCCTTGTTTCTTGTTTAGGGTTGGGTCTCCGGTTCCTTCTAAATTCTACTTAAACTCTGTACTTCTAACGCCTCCGCCTAATCTCTGAAATTCATACTGTTATTGGCTTTTCAGTTCTTTCTGAAGACGGTAAGATCCACTCTCAGAATTCCAACAGAGTACGCTAAGTACCAATACTCATCTCAACTCTTTTCCAGGTGTTTAAAATTTACTTCTTAATTAATTGCATTGACAAAGAAGATTCTGTTGTAAAATGGATATTTTTTATTTTAAATAAATTCTTAGGATCATTAAGCTGTGAACTTCATAAAAATAATCTACGATTTTGGCATTGATAACTTTTTGTTCAGTGTCCCTTTTTAGAATACTCCCTTGGGAGTTGCTTGCTTTCTGCATTAATATATATATATATATATATATAAGGTTTATTTGGGAAGCAGTTTTTCACTTATGAACGTTTGATTAAAAATGACAGTGAAAGTTTCTTGATCAACTTTTATTTACTATTTCGTTATTCGGAATTTTTTTTCTAATTTCCGGTTCACGTTTATAGATATATCCAAGCACTTTCGACTCACACTAGCCATTTTCAAACAGTTTCTTTGTTGTTTGTGATGTCGTCAGTTCAATATATATATATCTTTTTTAGATATCACGTTATATATATCTTATGTTTTTAAAACTTTATAGTTAGTGGATGCACGTGTTTTAGTAAACATCCACGTATTTTTAAGCTGCGTAAATTCATATCTACCGGCCTGTGCTATCGAAAGAGTTAATAAACATAGTGTAAAGTACATATACTGTACACTGTATAAAAAAAAACACGTATCCCTACTCAAAGACGTATATCCACAATAGATAACGTTTAAAATAATTAAGAATAATTTCAGATTATAAATAAAATCCATAAACTTCTTATATATATATATATATATATATATATATATATATATATATATATATATATATATATAAGTGCATGTGTGTGCGTGTGGCCTACTGATTCGAATGTTAGCGTTCCGATCATGAGACCCAGTTTCGAATTATGCCATAGACGACATATCAAGGTGGTAACATCGGTGTGGAGAGACGAATCCACTGTGTGACACCATTGGGAAGTACATGTTAACCTTACCACGGTTGAGCCAATCCTTGTGAGTGAAATTAGGTTGTGATAACACAAAGGCACAAGTCATCGTGACCGAGGGTTTGGGTTTACTGGCCTTGTTTAAATATTGCGTCCTCTCTCTCTCTCTCTCTCTCTCTCTCTCTCTCTCTCTCGAAACTATAACAAAGGTCTTCTCAGCATAGGTGCAGTTTTAATCACAAGTGGGCTCCGTGCGTGTAGGAGGGTGTTACAGATTCTAAGAAATATATAATTATATACAAGAGACTTTGTTTTTTTTCCATTTAATAGCTCTAAGTTAGGGCTGCGTATTATACACGAATAATTTACGGTATTTTTAAAGCGCTATTTTTCTACCTCGCCTTGATGGTCTTTTCCTCTTTCAGACCTCTGAAAATTCAATTGATTCACTACATACCACGACATAGGCAACGTAATTTATATATATATATATATATATATATATATATATATATATATATATATATATATATATATATATTTTTTGCGTTTCACCCCAAGCAAGGCGGGAAGCCACTAGGATGCAAGGGGTTACAGCAAATAGCAAGATCAGATAGGAGTGATAGAAGAAAGGATGAGGGTAGTGGATAGATTAAGGCAACTGGAGATGTCGATTGACATTACATTTGAATAGCTGGAGATTATAGCTCACAGGGAAACAGGAGAAGGGAAGAGAGTTCCACAGGCGAGAGGTGTGAGACATGAAGCTATTAGAGTAGAAGAGACGGCTACATTTAGGAGTTTCGACAGTGAAGGGGTGAGAGCGGGATGCCAGCCTCGTAGGGCGCTGGAACTCATGACGTCTGGGAACCAGCGAATATATAAAGCCGATTCTGATTTTTTCATTCTATTTTTCTTTTACTTTTGCATTTTATGACTTTTTTTTTTTGTTAGTGGTTTTTTTTTCAAATTGTTTGTAATTATAGTATTTCATACCTTTTTCTCATCACAATCCTAACGTACACTTTCCGTCTTTGTTCGTTTCCATTCTCTACCTATAGCCAACCACTTTACTTTTCATTTCTTCTTCTTTCTCTTTATTTTTTTATCTTATATTTGTTTTACTCTTTTTTATTATTCCTCTACTTTCCTTTTTCATCCTTTTCTTTCTTTACCCTTCTCCCTTTTTCTACATGTCTTTTTCCTCTTCTTCCGTCAGTCTTTTGTGTCCGTTTCTTCATATCTATGTAATAAATGCGAATGTCAGTGTGTCACACTTTTTCTACTTTACTTCTAGAGGCCGTAGCCCAACATATCATACCATTTTGGAATCAGACCCTCTCCTTGACCAAATTAAAACTATTCCGAACTGCATCTAGAACTGCAATCTTGAAATTTTTAATTCCCAAGTTTTCATTACTGCGATTTTTTGCGACGACTTATTTTCTAAGACAACAATTTTTATAACTTGGAAGTAAATTTGGGAATAATCGAAATTAATTTTGAAATCCAGAAAAAGCCACCCATGAAATAAAAATAATTGTTTGTACGAAAAGTAAGGTCCTACGTACATAAAGTTGTCTTTAAATTAAGTGGCGGCAGAAGAATTATCGTTGAACTTTTAAAAGGTACGCTTAAATATTAATACTTAAATGCAGCGATCAATTTTGAATTCTTATGGAGTTTATTGTTGCCTATCGCTTCTCCTTCTCTCCACCTATTGTGATGAAGGGGCTTTCCACATGAGCTAACGTAAATACCGTCAGATAGGGCGGTTTTTAAGCTAGTACATATATATATATATATATATATATATATATATATATATATATATATATATATACTTTAAAAATCAGGAGATCAGTAGAACCCGCTACCTTGGTTTCGACCTTACAGTATCCTCAGGGTTTTTTTTTTTTTTGGTTTTTTTTATCAAATTTAATAAAAATCGCCTGAGGATACCGTAAGGTTGAAACCAAGGAAGTGGATTCAACTGATCTCCTGATTTTTAAAGTTAAAAGCTCTACATGTTATTCTTACTTTTGTTTTTTCAATACTAGTGCTTTCTAGTCTGATTCAACTTTGAACATTAATCTTTTATATATATATATATATATTTGAAATTTACGCATCTTTATAAGCATGTTCATTCATTACTATGGAAACGGCTGGGGCGACCATTTTTGCTAAGGGGCCTAAGAGTTAATTTTTATCCACATATCAGTCACTTTCGGAAAAAGGTCAAACCGAGGTAGGGTGGGGTGTCTATTTCAAAGCGAATGATGGCGTTCATGTAAACTCTACTTTTGTATGGAGCACTGTTTTTTTTTTTGTTTTTTTTAAATAAAAACAAAAATACTAATGAACTCCGGCTTATTTACCTACTGCGTTCTTTCCTATTTTTCTACATAGCAGCGCGCGCACACACACACACACACACACACATATATATATATATATATATATATATATATATATATAGAGAGAGAGAGAGAGAGAGAGAGGGAGAGGGAGAGAGAGAGAGAGATTCATGTTCTTATCTATTTGCAGCATTCTCGGACTTTTCCTTTTCGTCCTCCATATCCCTTTATCCAATTCCTTCTTTTTCTCTTCCTACTCTGATGCCCCCCTTTTCTTTTCTTTCCCGCTCTTGCTTTTCATGATGCAATTTAACCCCATATCCTGCTCGTCTTTATTTTAAACTAACGCTTTTTTCCTCCTCATTAGTTTTACGTCAAATGTAATTATTAAGCTATAATTTTGGAAAGTTAAATTTCAATGAAATACAGTGTAACCCGGATATAAGAGACCCGGATATAAGAGAAACCCGGATATAAGAGAGATTTTCTCTGGTCCCAAAGTGTTTCCATACTTACCTAAGCAAAATAGACCAAACCCGGATATAAGAGAAACCCGGATATAAGAGACTTCTTCTCCGGTCCCGACAACTCTCTTATATCCGGGTTACACTGTATGTTGGAAAATTTCACAGTTACCATTTGAAACTAAGAAAATACGAATTGAAAACAAAATGGGGACAATATATGGGGGAAAAAAAGGAACTGACACTAGAAAGAGATGCTTTAATTTATTTGTTCTTCTCTTCTCTCCCCCCCCCTTTTTGTTTCTCTTACTCGTTCTTTAAACTGGCTTTCGGTGTTCCCCACCCCGCTGCTTTTCCATCCTTTATCTTTCTTTTTCTAGCCTCGTTTTTTCACTCCTGTCACCACTTTCTTCCTTTCCAGTTTGTTTTTTTTATTTCCTCTACCTTCTCTAGTGCCTTCTAGTATTGGCTCGACAGCTGTCGTCTGTTCGTCCTCGGGGCTACAAACCGGTTTCAGACCCATGTAAAGGACTTCGACGCTAGCGCATGCGCACACATACACTGCAGTTCTTTCAACAAACACTTCTCGCAGACATTCCTAGGCCCGCAAAGAGCACCATCCACCACGGAATGTGAAAGCATGTCGACCAGGATTTGATTGCTCCTGGCACCTGTACAGGAATCGGGCCGGCCTGTCTGTCTGCCTACCGACTGCGTTGATACAGCGGCTTCTTCCTACGGAGAAAGAGACTTGACTCCAGTGTTTGTTGCGTAGGCCGCGACCACCACTATCCCCGTTATCGTCTTCGTCTGCCGCCGCCCTACCTACCATAAAATGCAGAACTCTCTGACAATGTGCCGTTATCTGCTAAGTTAATAAGTGGTTCGCAACCTTTACTGAGTCACATCGCTGGAAGGAAAGAACTTCGTTATTAAGTATTTCAGTAGGAGTTGGGGACAAGTCGAAATAGCTTTAGGGAATTTTTAGTCTATTGCCAATTTTCTGTTAAATATACTGCTCTTGATAGCCGGACTGGAATTGGTAAAGTTTGAGAAACGTTTCAAAGGAGCCAACCAGCTGCATGACCAAGGGTTAGGTGAGGGTGTCACCGACTGGGGTGGAGTTGGAATGGTTTCAGTTGAGTCAAGCTTATCGAAGAACTCGTTTTGCGACGTGCTCTTCCGAAAACGATTTCCATTTTAGTTCTGTAACATATTTAACCCAAAACTTATAGAGTTAAATGTCGAGTTTTCCAGCAACTCAAGTTGTGTCTGTTGTCTTGTTTTTAGAACATATATTTTCGTTTTTACTCACACCTCTGATGGTTGTCGCTGGAAATTGAGTGATGCTATATCTCTACAAATTTCCAGCACCTTCCCCAGTATCCTGGTAGATCACCAATTCTTCCATAGTCTGTACAGTCCCAACCGTTTCTTCTCATTACCAATAACTTCAATCTAGGTGCTAGTGTTATTTGGGGGGGGTTGTTTTTTGCTTTTGTTTTTTGTATGGTTCCTGGTGCAACAGTTATTATGGTTACCATTATGAATTTATTATTCTGCAGCTTTCTTAGTTCTTGGGCAACGTCCTGATATTTTCCTCGATGTGTGTATATGTGTGTTTGATTGGTTCGTTTTCAACAGCTTAGCAAGCATTTGAAGGATATTTAAAGCCAGAAAATATTTTTAGATTGTAATAATTGTTTATATAATTATGATTTAGTGATACAAGTCTTATGAATTAACCCATAGTTGGGGGGGAGAAGTGGTCGGTTCATACCTTTCTCAAGGATATTTGCGCGTAATTGAATATGACGAGCCCAGCAGGAATTGGAACACGGCTTTCCGATTAACATTTCCGATCCATTATCCATCACCCCCTACATCCAAGCGATCGCACGAGAACCGGTGTTTCAACGTGATTTAGAAGTAAGCCCTTTATACCATCCGCAGATCCAAGCTCACTATACCTAGCATTCCCAAGTGGCTACCCATCTAGGTACTGACCAGGCTCGACGCTGCTTAACTTGGGTGATCGTACAGGAACCGTTGTTTCAACGTGATTTGGTAGTAAACCCTACGCACACGTCCAACCAAGCAGTCATCCATCTAGGTCAGTAGTTCTCAACCTTTTTTTACCCATGGACCCCTTTCCCCTTCTTTTTATCTTGGTGGACCCCTTCATAGCTATTGGACATAAGAACAATTTTCTATTCTTCACTAATATAAATTTTAAGGTTTTAATTATCAAAGAAATAGTATACGATTAAGCTTTATTTTTAAATGAAAACTAATTTAATACAAATAAAATATTCTACTATAATTATAATAATAATTATTATTACTATTTTTAATTAACACAACAATTGTGTTTTGCCTGTGGACCCCCGGAAATATTACATGGACCCCTAGGGTCCATGTAGACCCCGGTTGAGAACTACTGATCTAGGTACTGACCATGCTTGATGTTGCTTAACTTCAGTGGTCGTACCAGATCCGGGTTTTTCAACGTGATGAGGCCGTAAACCTTTTATACCACCCACACATCTCAGCTTACAGCACTTGGTGTCCGGTCATCTAGGTATTAACTCGACTTAGCTTTTTCAACTTAATGTGGTTGTAAGGCATTGCTTTCTTTACGTGTGGATGGTCAACTTCTTTCGGGTTTGAGTTTGGTATACAATAATTTCTAAATCTCCTACATTCCTGATGGGACGACCTTTAATTGTATTCTTCCAACTCTCGTCGAATTGAAGTCAGAATGCGTACCAATGTGAAATATCATTAAACTATAAATACTGTTTATGACTTTTAATGACCCTAAAATATATAAATAAATTTATTTTGTCAGACTAGCTTTTATTCTATCAATAAAAACAGTCAATTCTTCATTTCATCTCATCGCTCATCACGTTTTATTTTCAATGTAATGAGTTTTCACTTTTCATTATAGGTTTTGTTTCATTATTTACATTATTCGGACTATTGTCCTCACCTTTGTCGCCATATTTATTACAATGTTTCGGCCGTTGTACGCTCCGGCCTTCTTCAGGTGATTGAAATGTCGAACTGAACCCTTTATTTTGCTCACTGTGGTAGACTGTTCGAGTTCCACGTGCCATGTTTAATGGATGTCAGTTATCAGTTATCCTGTTAATTCCCCTCTGAAAGTTCTCCACTGCCTTAGCCGGTTATTGAACTCACACTCTTTGTGTCCTGTCACTGGATCTAACTAACGCCTTTATCCACTGTGCCATTTGTCCTTGAGGAAATATAGACAGATACAGGTTTTGTTTCTTGCATAATGTGTAGCCTGCGTTCTCCAACGCAGCTTAAACTTTAGATAACAGATATTTCAGTTCTTTATAGGATGAACTTTAACATCTATCTTTTTACTACCGGTTCTCCTTCAATAACCGAAATTAAATATGTTTCGGTTTTAAATAACCCACAAAGGATTGATAAACCGTAAAAAATATCATTCGTATTTGCTATGTTTGAATGCGTTGTGTGACTGTGTGAGTGCTTTATTTTACTGTTCAAATCACGACCTTTTTTCTGTTAGTTAAGTGTTACTTTTGCCACAGTTATGATTGTGAAGAAAATCTCTAATACTAACAAAAGTTTTATTTAGTTTTGTAAATATGGTATCTCATTGTACAGAGTACAGCAGAAATATCTCCCACACAATGGTAAGACATTTAGTTGCAATGGTGTTTTTATCTAGCTAATCTCTTACCATTATGTAGGAGGTATTTCTGCTGCACCCTGTACATTGTAGGAACACGCAAAAAAATAAATAAATAAATAAATAAAATAAAATAAACAATAACTTAGATAAATGTCATGAAAGTGTGATTACCTCCCTTTGATATGTAGTCACGTGACATAGGTATATAAACCCGCGCGTGTTCAAATTTCTCCTTTTGCCGCCTTTTTTTTTATCCTCTGAATACCAGCTGTCGTCGGACATGTAAGTTATTCTGGCATTACTGTCGAGTATTCACTCAGGGTGTTTAAAAAAAAAAAAAAAAGGGAATTTTCGTGTAAATACATTGTTTTTATTTTAACCATAACCATTTTATTTTAACCATTTTTTTTATTCGTGAAAAATTTTGGAAATTTTGAAAATACCTATTTGTGAAAATTATGGTTATCATGGCTTTTACTTGAGCTCGCAATTCATAGAAAAATTTCGGTATTATAGTGTCTATTATAAAACTGTAGGTGATGTAATGGTTAGCAAGCTTGTCTCGCTAGAATAATTACGACTGAATAGTGAGTTCAATTCTCACTGGGTGCCCCCTTACTTTCGGCCTTGTCACATCAAAGCTATGCTTAGAAAATCAGTATACAACTGTGCAGTGTAAATGAGGTGTTTTGGTAAAAGAGAAAATATTCGAGGGGATGGCTCAGTGTTTGTGTCTAAGTTATAGGGATAGTGAAGACCAGCCCTTTAACCCCACCCTGTTTTGGCCACGTGTTGCATTTGTGCAATTCGTACAATAATGATGTTACTTAAGAGATAACAAACACACACGCAAATAGGTAGCACTAAAACTGGTGCATTCTTTTTTTGTTCGAAATGAAAGCAAAATATCTCACCCCGCCCCCCAACACTGTTTTAAAATATTTGCCAAAAATCAGAGAATTATTTAATTCACACAGAATGTTCGCTACTTTTTTTTATTTTTTTTATTAATGAATGGATCGTATACCGAATAGGTTATTTTATGAGAAAACTTGGTGGAAATATCTTTTGGTGGGTGGGGGGCGTGTTTCACCACCAATATTTCGTGCGTACTTTTTAATTTGGGGTGGGGTCGTCAATATATATTATATATAAAGAAAAATCCCTAAGGCAGTGAAGATATAATTTCAGTAAAAAAACAAAAAAAAAACAAAAACAAATGCAATATCAAGTGTGAACATACGGAAATTTGTCCCGTATCTTACCAAAAATAATTCAATAAAACTAAAAAATATTTTTTTCTGAGAGATGGTGCTTCCATAATTAAATAAAATACGTTATTTTCTTTTAGACTGGACAAAAAACAAATAGACAATTTTTATTTAACAAAAAAAAAAAAAAAACTTTGCAATTTTTTAAATTGATTTTGAAATTTATCCCTTTGCTGTTCGTAAGTCTTTTTTTATTAAATAGAAAAAATTTTAATGTCATTTTCGAATGTGAACCTTTTAAGTTTTTTTCTTTTTTCATTTTAGCAACTGTTGGTTTATTTTTGGTATGAATGTTCAAAAATAAAATAATTCTGAATTATCACCTTTGTTTGACTACTTTTCCCTATCGGAAGAGTAATATGATATATGAAGTTCATAATAATTAGAATAAAAACATACTGGGTGTAATTAGATATTTCATGACATCAGACAGGTACAAAAATTAAAAAAAAAAAAATGTATCAAAACTAAAAAGTATAGGTTAACTAAAAAGAAACTTCTAATGTAGTAAAAAAAATAAAATTATCCATTCTAAAGTTTCAAAAATTCGTATGAAAAAGAGTTAATTCTTAAACTATTGGTTAAAGATAATTTATTTTTAAATATAAATACCAATATCTTGATTATTGCACTGCTAGTATTCCGTATTTATTTGTTATTCGCGCGCTTTTTAAGCTAGGGATGGGGTTGTACTTTAACTTTTCACCTCACAGGCTACCGTGCGTAAACAAACGTTATTTGCATTAAGTTTGAAGCAAAAAGTAAACATTACTTTTAAAAGTTCCATTTAATCTTGAAATTTACTAAATGACCCCGAAACATGTCTCTAGAGTAAATTTTGGATTTTTAAGAGGATTAAAATTTTTACGCTTTTCGTCTATAATTGCAGTTCACTGAATGACGTGAAAACGAGCCAATGTTTGAAAAATGGGCGCTATTACAATTTCGCACCTAACTTGGTTGCTTCCTGTCACTCAGCAATGGGTTGCTCCAGGTACGACAGTCCGAACTGATATGTGGGCCTCATACAATGGATTATTTTTAACCGCTACATCATATAACACACGTGTGTTGGCTCCTCTTTAAACTGGCCTTATGTCTAATTTTCTCTCCTTATTTGAGGCAAATAAATGCAATGAATAATGCTTGTTGAACATATCTTTATTTCAACAATTTTACTTTTAGTTAAAAAGCTTAAGATTTTCTCGAATTTGATATTAATTAACCAGTAAATTTAAGTTTTCCTGGCAAAAATTGAAGGTATTTTTTTTACATTTTACAAACATTGATTTTGTTTCTCTAGATTTATATTTAAATTTAAATTTGATAATTAACAATAACAAGCAGAACAGTTTCCAGACTATCGTACCTGGGGCAACCCATTGCTGAATGACGGGGAGGGCAAAAGTGTAAAAGCGTCGAAAATGTCGAAAAACTTTATTTATATATGGAAAAAAAATCTATTAATTCAGATTAAATTTAGGCCATTATTTTTCAAGTAAAATTTAAGTTCAAAGAAGGCATTTAATTTTTTTTTTTTTTAAGGTTTCTTTTAGAAAAGTCCATGGCGGTACCTATAAAACATGGATAATGATAGTTTATAGGCTGGTCGGAACGGGACGGATGTAAATGAGGTTTGAGCAAGCTAGCAATTGTCGTTTAATCAAATATCCTTATGAAATAATATCAAATTTATTTTTTCTTTCTTGTTAGCTTGTTAGTCTTTTTTTGAAAGAACACAAGAGAGCATGCGCGTACAAGCATGATCTTTTTGTATTATGAAATCTTTCAAGTGACAATAGAAAAGCAAGCAAAAAATAAAATTTTTTTTAAAGAAACTCCAAGACGTGAAGCCTTTCTTTTTGTGATAACAGATTTAAACAAAACAACAACAAAAAATGGCGAAAAGATATCGCGCTAAGTCTTCAAGACAAGAAGCCGTACAAAAGATTGAATGCGGAGGAAAAGTAAGTGAAAGAGCGAGAAGAAAAAACATGTTAATTGCAATGCATCACGGGAAAATTAATTTGATGTCTAGACATTTAGCTGAGAAAATGAGAAATCTATGATGAATGTTGTCTACAGGAAACTCAAGTGGTATTCACCTGATCTGCCAATTTGGTGAGGAATTCTCAGGGCATTGTCACTTCTTTTATTCCATCGAAGAAAAATGGTAAGAAACGAAGTTTTAGATGTAGTTTTCTTCGCTAACACATCAACGTTGTTCAACAAATCTCAAAGAAAATCTATTGAAGTAAACTAAATTGTTTTGTCTTTTACAATTCTTGCTTTTCTAACCTTTTTTTTTTTTTTTTTACCGTTGTTACTTTTGTCTACTACTTTTAAATTTTTTTCCTCACTTTTGACTTTTACGTTTTTTATCTCCTTCATTCTTTTACGCTTTCTTTTGATTTCCACCATTTCTTTTGACGTTTTTTATCTTATCTTTCTTTCAATTTTCTTGTTCATTCTTTTAGCTTTTCGTTTTCTTTTACATTTTTCTTTTATTTTTTCTTTGACTTTATTTTCTCCTTTTACCATTTTCTTTTTTGCTCATTGCTTTTCCTTGTTCTTCATTAGGCTCATTTTTTATTCTCTTAAATTTATGTGCTCTTTCGTTTTCTTATTTATTTTCCTTCATTCTCTTTACGCGTTTTTCTTTTCTCATTTTACTGCTTATTTTTTTTCTGTTTGCCTTTTTCTTTTTTTCTTTTATTCTCTCGATGTCACTTGCCCATTCTTAGTTCCTTTTATGTTATTTTCTCTATCTTTTTATTTCTCTCTCTCTCATATATATATATATAATTCTTTCTCTTTTTCTTCTTTACCTTTTCCAGTTTCTCATCTTATTTAACGCTTTATTTTTCTTTTACCCTGTCATTTTTTTTCTTTCTCTTTTACTCCTACTTTTTCTCTTTTACCTTTCACTTTCTCCAACTTTTAGTTTTCTCCTTTTCTTTCTACTTTATATTTTTCCCTTGCTTATTCCTTTCTTTCACGTTTATCTTCTTTCCTTTTTCTTGCTTTCCTTATTTTTCCTTTTATTTTTTCCTTTATTTTTCTTTCTTGTTCCGCCATTTTGTCTTCACTTCTTCCCACGCGTTTCCTCAACTTCACCCCTACCCACATCCCGCTTAATTTTTTCATTCTTGTTTTGGTTTCACATAAATTTTAAGAGGAAAAAAAAAAAAACTAACAAGAAAACGAAAAATAAGAAAGGCATTAATTTAATTACACAAAGTGTCACCACTTGTTACTCTTTGGTATGAATACTATTTTTTTTTTTTTTATATATTTAAAGCCGTAGTTGTAGTATTAGTAACAACATCAATGTAATCCATATTAGGATTTTCAGAGTGTAAAAAAAAAACAAAGAAATATTATGAGATTAAAAGGGTACAAAGAGTCTTTACTTTTGGTATTGCTAATTTTTCAACTAATCAAATTTATCAGCAACTGATCCAGTTTTCTTTTTTTTTTCTACTTTCGTTTCTTTTCCTTCCCCCACTTTCGTCTCTCTCTTTTCCTCCCTCCCACTTTCGTCTCTCTCTTTTCCTCCCTCCCACTTTCGTCTCTCTCTTTTCCTCCCTCCCACTTTCGTCTCTCTCTTTTCCTCCCTCCCACTTTCGTCTCTCTCTTTTCCTCCCTCCCACTTTCGTCTCTCTTTTTCCTCCCTCCACTTTCGTCTCTCTTTTCCTCCCTCCCACTTTCGTCTCTCTCTTTTCCTCCCTCCCACTTTCGTCTCTCTCTTTTCTTCCTCCCACTTTCGTCTCTCTCTTTTCTTCCCTCCCACTTTCGTCTCTCTTTTTTTCTTCCCTCCCTTTTCGTCTCTCTCTTTTCTTCCCTCCCACTTTCGTCTCTCTCTTTTTCTTCCCTCCCACTTTCGTCTCTCTCTTTTTCTTCCCTCCCACTTTCGTCTCTCTCTTTTTTCTTCCCTCCACTTTCGTCTCTCTTTTTCTTCCCTCCCACTTTCGTCTCTCTCTTTTTCTTCCCTCCCACTTTCGTCTCTCTCTTTTTCTTCCCTCCCACTTTCGTCTCTCTCTTTTTCTTCCCTCCCACTTTCGTCTCTCTCTTTTTCTTCCCTCCCACTTTCGTCTCTCTCTTTTTCTTCCCTCCCACTTTCGTCTCTCTCTTTTTCTTCCCTCCCCCTACTCTTCCACACTTGTTGATTCTCATATTCTCTATACAATATTAGTCTTTTTAGGGTTTTTTTTTTTCCAAATTTTATTTAATTGAATTTTATTTTATTTTAAACTCCAATTATTTATTTTTTTTTTGCTGTGTTCTTTTCTCCTACACTCCAAACAATTCTTTACTCTCACCATCATTACCCACAACTAATTCCCCGAGCCCAGCCTGTGTTGCAAATCTCTTGTTATCTTTGTTAAAACTTAATTAAACTAATGAATCTTATTTGTTTGGTATTTCAAGACAAGCTTTGGGGATTCTTGGAATGAAAAGAAGCAAAGGGTGCAGTTGTGGGTGGGGTGTAGAAAAGAAAAAAGATAGTAAATACAGTCCATGTTCATAGAACGTAATAAAATGTTCTTTTCTCTATATTGTTATTCACACTCACTTTATGATTGTTGGCATCTGAATACAAATGGCAAGAAAAATTAAAAGTATAAAAAAAAACTGAAATTATGTATTTCTTATTTTTTATTTAATTGTTTTTATTTTTTAAGCTATTTACTTAAGTTTTTTATTTAAAAGTTTGTTTTAATTTTCTGTTATATTTTAAAATGTTTACTTTTTTTTTTTTCATTTGAACTTTTTCTGTGTTATTCCTTGCGTTCAATTTTTTTCTTGTTGAATATAATATACAAATTCTTCGTATTTGTATATTATGGTTATGTATGATATTTTAATTATTTTGTTATATAGAAAATTGAGTTTCACTTACTTCATTTCTTTTTAAAATATTTCCCACATGTTTTTGTTGGGACTATTTCAGTCTTAATTTTTCTTTTTTAGTGTTTATGAGACAGCATCAGGTGATAATATTTTTAAAAAAATTTACTACTTTATATATATATATATATATATATATATATGTGTGTGTGTGCGCGCGCGCGTGTAAATCTATTTAAACTCGGTGAGTGAAAAAAAACCTGGATAGCACAATTTTCAAATAAATTGGCATCCATGGAAAAATGGGGGGGGGAGAAAAAAAGCACCAGAAACCTCCGAACAGGGCGAAATAAATCGTCCAGTATCTTAAATCTCTGGTATAAAAAAAAAAAAAACAGCAACTAAGTTAAAACGAAGAGTGCTCAATACCCTAAGTAGAGCAGAAGTAAAATAAATATATCCTAATGATTCAGGTACGACCTACCTAGGTTTCACAATATGAACTCATCAGGTTCACCCTGATAATCCCATGTGGTGAAACCGAGGTAGTTATTACCTGGCTCATTAGGATTATATATATATATATATATATATATATATAGAAAGAGAAAATTATTTTGCAAATTTTTTTGGTTATTTTCCCAAAATATGGAACATAAGTTTATATATATATATATATATATATTTATATAAAGCCCAAAATATAAGAAAAACATTTGTATTCTTTGAAATATATACATTTCTCTCATTGGAACAACTATAATCTCTCCCTTTATTCATACACACACATATATGTGTGTGTATGTATGTCTATATATAAATATAACATTTATGCTTTAATACATTGACTTTATTTTCAACTTTCTGCTACACAGTATACAAAGATATATTCGCTGTATCTACTAGATAAGTTAGATAAAATACAAAAAAGTTCTATTGAAAAAAATAATCAAATAAAAATAGGTAGAAGAATTCAAAGCTAATGTCTTTCACAAAGAAGAAAAGTAAGGAATCAGGGTAGGTTGCAAGATGAGCGTCTTGAAGTATTCTTCGAAGTTCCTACTTATTGTAAGCACCATAATGCCACCTACCTGGAAGTCTTGAAGTCACTTCTTTAGCAGAACCTATTACTTGGATTAATTGCAGTATGAACTGTATAATGTCAAGAATTCAGCTGATTTGCAAAGATTTAAGCAAAATTAATTCTAGGGATTATTCAAATTGCAAGGTTAGTGATTTTTAAATTGCTTTTCTTTTTTTACAGAACGTGAAAAGGAATATTTTAATATTTACAAGTTGTGTGTATATATATATATATATATATATATATATATATATATATATATATATATATCTCGAGTGGTTAGAACGTTCATTTTCAGACCACGAGACCCGGGTTCGAGTCTCACTAGGGTCGATTTGTCTGGAGGAGGCGATCCCAACGTGTGACACCTTTGGAAAGTGCCTGAAAACGGGTTGATCCAAGTCTTGTGAATAAAATTTGGTAGACGGAACACTTTGGGCCGTTGATGGTTGTGCTGGCCTTGTTCAGAATGTTGATCATGTTAGATAATATGCTCTCTCCCAGAAATTCTAACTACGACCCGCTCAGCAAAGTTGCAGTATAAACCGGAGATAGGTACTATGGGTGTTGAACAAATATAAATGTGCCTGAGCGGACGTCACTAGTAGAACGGGAATCCTCTGATACGAGTGGCCATTATATATATATATATATATATATATATATATATATATATATGGTCACTCGAGGATATCGTCTGCTAGATTTTCGTCCACCTAATTTCACTTTCAGGCACTTTCCAAAATTGACGCATGCTGGGACCGATGACATAAAGTCTCCTTGCTGACAAATCGACCGCGGTGAGATTCGAACCCGGGTCTCATGGTCAGAAAGTGAACGTTCTAAGCACTCGTGCCCATATAAATATACGTACATAAACATACATACAGAGCTTATTAATGTAATGCAATTATTTATGATTAAGAAAGTTTTATATATATATATATATATATATATATATATATATATATATATATATATATATATATATGTGTGTGTGTGTCACACATTATGAAATGGACAAAGTCCGACAATTGTTTTAAGACATTTTTATGTTTATACATTCTTTTTATCGATACAAATATTTAAGTAAATGCTCTGTTTATAATAAACAGTTTTAAATAACATTTACCGGCCTGAATGTCAGAAATTCTCATAGAAAATTTTCGTCCTCCGACAGAAATCGAACCTGTATCCTATACGGAACCGTCATATAGCCTGACGTGCCTTTAACCGTTTCGGCCACAGAGGAGCGTTCGGTTAGCAAGGTCGATTTTACTGTCTTTAAACTTTAATCTTCCACGAATCTCTCACGTACATTCATATCTGCTCATGGCGTATCAAATGTAAACAAATGACCTCACACATTATGAAATGGACAAAGTCCGACAATTATTTTATGTCAGCTTCATAAAAATGTCTTTATATATATATATATATATATATGTGTGTGTGTGTATAGAAGAATGCTCGGTATTAGTGATAGTACATTTCTATAAGTGTAAATATTTTGTCTGTTGGCCTGTGCACTCAAGAAAATTTAGTTAAAAGTTGCCGTCCAAAAGGATTCGAACTTGTGCCCACCTTTGAGGAGAAACCAGCAACTGATCTGGCGGGCTTTTACCGCTTGGCTACAGGAGCTTCACAGTCAAAGCACATTCACTCGTTCAGGTTCAAATCTTGCAGGAGTGCACATTTTCTTTAGGTTTTCTCAAGTGCACAGACCAGTAGATAACATAAACACTTAAAAAAAAAATCTCCCCATTTGAATCAACACTGCATGATGACTGTCAGTTTCATGCTTCAATGCAATCTACAGATTAAATTTTGTAAAATTGACTGTTACTATGCAATGTTCGTTCCTTTATATCTATTTCTCTCTATATATGTCTTAGTACATAATACTAAATACTATACAGAACTCACTACAGGGAAAGACACAAAATACATTAAACTATTATTATACAAAAGAAGTAACTTTTACCACAGCAAACAGTATTTCAAAGTATGTATCTAATATATACGTATATTAATATATATATTTTAATATGCATATACAATACATATATATTTGAATTGTAGTACTGAAAAAATTGCAAGCATATAGACCATAAAAAGTTTGTCTACCATTACTGAAAACATCCAGTTCTTGATAACGACTCAGTTTGATTTGGTTGATTTGTTTAGCGAAATATTAACTCCTATCGGTTATTTAATGCTGAAATCTAAATATTTTGAGAACAGTATGTCTCTAACTACAGATATTTTGTACATAATTTTATAGTCCTAGGCTAAATGTATGCTTATATATATATATATATATATATATATATATATATATATATATATATATATATATATATGTGTGTGTGAGAGAGAGAGAGTGACTTTGATTTTATAGCCTCAGGACTACTATGAACCTTTTAATAACGCTTGTTTTGATTGGTTGATTTATTTACGCATATCAACTTCTGTGGGTTATTTAATGCTGGAATCTAAATGTTTTGTACGCAATTTTTGAGATAATGGTTTAGTGATACAAATCTTACTAATTAACCAACAGCTGAGCAGGAGAAGAGGTGGATTCATACGTTTGCGCGTAAGGGAATATAAAGAACCCAATTGGAATTCGGCTCTTAGATTAATTATTTCGAGCCATTATCCATTACACCACCCGCAAATCCACGCTTGCAGCCCCTTGTATTCCCAATCTGTCACCCATCTAAATACTGACCAAACTCGACATTGCTTAACTTCGGTGATTATATGGGAACCAGTATTTCAACGTGAAGTGGTTTAATAACACACAAATACAAGTATCAGAATTTAATTTGAAGAGCCTCTTGATTGGTTTGAGAATTTGGGGGTATTCATATATGCGTATACACACATGTAAACAGATGTGAAGCAAACATAAAAATTAACAATGTATGAGGATTATATCTTATGCCTCATGAGACCATATTATTACACACACCTAATATACATATGTATATCTATATTATTTGATATATATATTACACATGTGTATGTTTATATTCTTATATATATTTTATTCATATATTATACATGTATGTTTATATTCTCACACACACACACACACACACACAAAAACCGAAAAAGGTGTAACAAAAATACTTTTATATAAGTATTTTGGGGCAGGTTCCTCACACCAAAACGAGGACAAAAGTCTATATAAACATACGTCCACAAATTCTTTTTTGAGTTTGAAGAAAGTTTCCGGTAGATGGCGATGTGTTACCATGTAGACTAGGTTACACTTGTCATTCGTGTACATTTGTGACCAGTCTGTCTTCAATGTTTAACGTGTGTAGTAGTGAGTTAACCGAGAAATGTTCCGTTTAACAATGGCAGAATATTCATATTTTGATTTTTACATACGGCCACACGAATAGTAATGGAGGCGAGGCTGCACGGCTGTATCAGACCGTGTTTCCAGACCGAAAGCAGCCGAGTCATCCAACCTTTGCTGATGTTTATCGTAGTGTTGCTGAGACAGGATCCGTGGCCCCAAAAACTATGGATCGAGGAAGACTGAAATCCGCTAGTTTTTCCCCCTTTGCTTTAAGTATATCCTGCGAATATCAAATTCTCCAATCCCTCTTTCCTCATATGTCCTAGAAATTTCAACTTTCTCTTTCCGATTCTAAGTACAAGTGTCTTGTGTGTTTCCATTGTGCTTAAAACATTCTCGGCATCCTTCTGTAGAACCACATTTCTCTTGTCTCAAGTCGCTTCTCCACCTGTAAAAAAACATTGGTCAGTGTTTATTTAGCCTTTTCTTTTCTTTCTCGTTCTTCTATATATTTTGGTCTTTTCAATTTTTCTTTTTCCCATCCCGCGTACTTATTTATTTTGTCTACTTTTCATTTTGTCTCATTCACTCTTTCCTTCTTGCTCATCTTTCATTTCTTCTCTCCATTAAACTTCATTTGTGTGTGTGTGTGTGTTCTTCCGTTCATCTTTATCCATTTTGTCGTCTTGCTTTCTTTTATTCTCTCCGTCTTTTCACTCTCTCTCTCTCCGTCTTTTCACTCTCTCTCTCTCCGTCTTTTCACTCTCTCTCTCTCCGTCTTTTCACTCTCTCTCTCTTTTCACTCTCTCTCTGTCTTTTCACTCTCTCTCTGTCTTTTCACTCTCACTCTCTCCGTCTTTTCACTTTTCCGTCTTTTCTCTCTTTTCTCTCTCTCCGTCTTTTCTCTCTCTCTCCGTCTTTTCTCTCTGTCTTTTCCTCTCTCTCTCTCTCTCTCTCTGTCTTTTCACTCTCTCTCTGTCTTTTCACTCTCTCTCTGTCTTTTCACTCTCTCTCTGTCTTTTCACTCTCACTCTCTCCGTCTTTTCACCTTTTTTTCTCATTCTTTCCTATTGCTATTCTTCTTTAAATCTTTGCTTCCCTTTTTCTTCTCCTTGACAACTGTGTCGTTCCTTAATTTCATTCTGTCCTTTCACAAACTGGCCTGCATACTTCATTTGAGTTCCAGGAAAGTCCGATATTTCACCCCCTCTCTGTCTTTTCAAATTTTGTCTTTTTCTCTGATTCTTGTCTTTTTCACTCTGCATATATTAATTTTCTTAATTTTCCTATTGCTTTTTTTTAAATTTCCCCTTTTTCTTCTCCTTGACAAATGTTCTCTATAAAGATTAAAAACTTAAAAAGATGTGCTGAACATTTGAGTTCCAGGAAAGTCCGATTTTAACCCAAAAGATTCTTCAGATATATATTGTTCTTAATCGCCCTGAAATTTCGAAGGAAATGTTCTCTATAAAGACTAAAAACTTAAAACAGATGTGTTTTGGAAATGAACAACCCAAAAAGATTTTTTCCATTGTTCACACCCTTTTGTTTAATTGAACAGGAAAAAGTTTTATTCATTGTTTCCTCTGAAGTTTTCTCTTTTACTCCTATTAGTAACTCCTTTCATCTTAGTTGCATTATTGCCTTGCTTGAGGTGAAATGATGAAAAAACATCCTGACTTTAATCTCAAGTTACATCTTTTCCGCTCCATAACTATGCTATAATTATAGACTATTATTTTTGAAAGTGAAAATTTCAATTAATATATATTATAAAATTTCCAATTTTTTATTTGAAATCAAGCAAATAAGAATTTTAAGTAAAATTGTGAAAATATATTGTAAAGAAAAAAAAAAGGGTGCCACATACTCGAAAGATATACATGTATAGGTGTCGGGGTTATTGAGGCAGAACCAGGATTAATTTCACATGAAGCAAAGTGGGTCCTGCTTGACAACTTTTTTTTTTCCAGTCAAGGTTTTACAGGGCTGGATGCTCTTCCTGTTGGCTAAATTAGACACCCATTGTAGTTTAAGTACACCAAATGTCTTTTATTGAAGCAGCATCTCTAGGAAGGTTGCCATTCAAGCCTTGGGATCCCATCCTAGCCTCCCATCCTAGCCTGTGTGTGTGTATATATATATATATATATATATATATATATATATATATATATATATATATATATATATATATATAAACAGAAAAAGTAATAAAATCATATACAAACGAGAAAGAATGTTAAGTCCGACTGTCAGAGCTGACTGCTGGACACGGTATTTACTTGACCCCCCCCTACTGAGTCAGGTTGTGACACAACGTCAATTTTTAACGTGGGGACCCGAGTGCTTTCACTCGGGCCGCTGGTCAGAGCCGTGATACCACCAGCACAGAGACCGGTAAGTATCCGAGTGCGTACACCCCTCCAAGGAAGAATTTACGCCAACTGACTGCTGGACACTGCTTTCTAAAAGCAATACGTGCTTTTATTTGTAACTTGGGAGAGTCCATCTGTGTATGGGTAATTTACCATAACACACACATCTCTCTCTCTCTCTCTCTATATATATATATATATATATATATATATATATATATATATATATATATATATATATATATATGTGGGGAACCTCGATGTGGTGTAATGGTTAGAAAGATTGTCTTGCTAGATCAATTTCGACTGAGTAGTGAGTTCGATCGTCACTGGGTGCCCCATACTTTCGGCCTTGTGCCACATCTAAGCCGGGCTTAGAAAATCTCTATATATATAATATAAAATTCTGGTTGTTGGCGCCTATAAGAAGCTCGTCCTCCCTTTGACAAGTTATGTTTCTCATCCCGTGGGGTGGCATACCACTCTTTTCACCATCAGGAAAGCTAATGTGAGAGCTGGTTCAGACACATACCACCCATCTGTGACCTGACCTTAAAAAATTCTGATGCTTGGTCATTTGGTTAGGTTTTGGGAAGTGGATTAGGACAAAAAACAAAACTGCTCAGCGCCCTCCCTTTGTAAAAAGAAAAAAAAATGCATGCTAGATAAAAAGACAGCAAAACTCCAAGATTGGCAAAAAAATAAATAAATAAAAAGAAAAAAAGACAAGAATCAAGACAGTAGAGTGTATTGCAAGGAAAACTACTTAAAACCAAAAATATATCCCAAGATGAAAACTAACAAAAACTACAAAGAACAAACATTTGAAAACTGAAAAATGTGTATATTTCTGTCTAAAGCCATTTCCCAACAAAGAACTCCACCCTGATTCTGTTACTATCACTCATTCCTGCCCAACTCATCAATTCAAACCTGACCCCAGCTAGCTTGTCTCATCATTTTATAAGATCAATATAACAAGACAAGTAATTTTAATTCACCTTTGAGATAGTTAACTTCTGCATGCACAGTTTTATGTTAACTTTATGATAAGGCTTGCAGAATTTATAGGGCGCATAACAATGGCGTAGGCACATGGGGGAATGGAAGGGTGACATTGAGGGGTAAAGGGTAAGGATATTGAACTTAGAGAGTGTGCAAGAAATCAGAAAACGCATGTGGTGAGGGACTTGGTTGAGCATGGTTACCTCCCACAAAATTGCCAATACAAGGGGGCGCTGAAAAATTTCTCGACCTGACCTAAATCCCCCAAATCTGACAAAATGACGAAGCAGCAATATTTATTTTTGAGTCTCTGCTTGGTTGGTCCAAGAACTTTTCAGCACTATCTTCGTAATGCAGACATTTACAGACAGAGTACATTACTCTTGGTCTTAAGGTTTGAGGAATCAGTTAATTCTTTTAGAGAAAGAAAAGCTTTGACAAACTGTCATGGCAAGTGTTTTTTTTTTTGGGGGGGTCTTTTTTTAAATCAATTCACCCTAAGCAAGGCGATAATGCCACGAAGACACAAGGGATTACTGGGAGTGAAGGAGAATGAAAAGTATTGAAGGAACATGAAACCCAATCCCAAAAAAGAAACAGTATAAATCTCCACTTTTGTTCAAAAGACCGGGGAGGAGTGTGAACAGGACGATAATTGAGGTGGGGAAAATAAATATAAATAAAATTTCAAAGTTTAGGTGGAGGCTTTAGATATGACCTTTACACTTTGTCAGTTGAAAATGTTAGCCCCAAAACGCTCAAGGAGTTACACTGCTGGGGGTTAGCATCAGCCATGCTGAAAGAAGACAAGAAGACGGAAAGTTCTATCAGATGATTGATAGAGCAGTTTTTTGTAGGGCTGTTTTTTCTACCATATAGCGGTGTGGTTTATATATTTTTATCATTCATTGACATTATCTTAGATAAATGAATAGACTCCTCTCACTACTAACTTAATGTCAACTCCTACCACCTGTGTGCATTTAGTGGGCAATGTATATAAAAGAATCGGCAATTGAGTGTCATCAAATGTATAGTGTGTGGTTCATGCCTTGAAATACCAGAGGTCTGAATCAAATTTAAAAAAAAACAAAAAAAAACTCTGGTCTCAGGAGTTGACTTGTGAATATATACTGGATTAGCCCTAAGTAAATTTTGCAGTCGGTGTCACTGCAAAATATTTGAAAGACCAAGAAGCCCTGAAGGTTGATCTACAAGGTAATCTCAAAGCTGTTAAGTGCAGAATCAAGTAGTAGTGAAATATTTGTAGAATTGTTTCTTTTGGCTTGCATTCAATTTCTGCAATCCGTTTCATTTAGTCCAACACTCCACTGACCACAAAATGTGTCTTATGTTCGGTACGGCAGTCACCGTCCAGCATGTCGCCTCGTTATGCACTTTTTATATCCTCATTTTCAGCTAAAATTTACATATACAAAGACTCTCGCAAAAGTTTATCCGAGACCGGGATCTATCCGTTTTAAACGTTACCGATGAAGCCACCATTTTCACCTTGGGAGAGTTTAAATGCGAGGCGCGTTCGAATCCGTTTTCGGTAAGCCATTTTCTATAGTGTTGGCAGTTGGAAAACATGCATGTAATCCAGGCCCCCTTTTTTTTTTTTTTTTTTTTTCACTACACGTCTCAAAGGATTTTATGTACACTGACATAAACAAGGAAGTGGACCAGCTAATCTTAGGATACACACACACACACACACACACACAACTAGATAACAAGAATTTATATAAACGCCCGAACTATGAAAAGAGTAATATCTCTCACATCCATACCAGATGATTGAACGTTTGAACAAAAATCCCAAACCAGATACCCTCGATTCAGCTGATTTGACAGAGTCCAGGAGAAAAGCAATATCTTACATATGAAAATTTTAGTCTCATTTTCTTAGATGCTTATGACGTAACATTACTAGTGTCTTTGATTTAGTATGTCAAAATAATTGAGGGTCACATAGTAGAAGACAAGTGTCATAGGTTAATTAAGCAAAAGTTTGTTACTACAGATAGAAATGTTCCCAAGAAATCTGTTGTGAACTGTTCAGTACAACCTTCTCCCTAACTCGTGACTAAACACTTAAGAACGCATACATAGCGCATGTTAATCCTAAGTATCTTTGTCAAGTTGATAGGCGTTTTACAAAAAAATAACCAATTAATGCGAAAATGTATTGAAAGTGCTGTAATTTTGAAATATTCTGCAATCAATTTATGTCCCAAATCATACAACAAATCTCCTTTCTTAACAGAATGACACATACGCTCCTGCTTTATATTTAGATAAAATCCGAAAAAGAATCTGCAATATTATTGGCCCTGACCTGGCGTATCAGTTCCAGACATTTTCCTATTGCTGTAAAGTTGCTCCCCTGTACATATATATCTTCATGGTAATTGTTCTGAGGAACTTTCCTCTTTGCACGAATGAGCTCTTTGCTATGGTACCTAAACTTCATGAATTTAATTGGGGTACTAGATCAGCAACAAGGTCCCATCGGTTGAATTAGCCAAATGTAACCGTAAGTTCTATGCTAACAGTTTCTTACCTCGCCTCTGGAACTCTCTTCAGGCTTCTTGCTTTCCAGAGAAGTTTGCATTTGAATTTTTTTTTTTTTAAAGATCAATGTCAATCGTTATCGACTCTCTTCCTGATTTGCTCTTCTATCGTTCTCACTCTTCAATGTTTTTGTTTACTAATTCTTTCACACACAGTAACCCCCGTATCTTAGCGGCTTTACTACCTTGCACAGAGTGAATTTGATTTTAAAATACATCTGAAGGTACTTGGTGTCACAAGATTGTTTGATAGATATTTGTGGTGCAAAGGACATGCAGAATGTCGCGTTTAACTTTTAAAAGTGTATTATACGTGTACATAATTATTTTTTTCGGGGGGGTTCACTCGAATAGCTTTTTCCCAAGGACCGCTATTTTGTGGAGCCTACTTCCAAGAAGATACTTCCGCGAACACCATAATCTTAACCTGTTCAAGTCTAGGGTTAGCCATCATGTTCCCTACATATCCTCATAGGCTGTGATCTTCTTACTATGTAACACTCAGTCGAGTGGCTCTTGGGCCTTTCACAGGGTGAACATTATCGTACAAAAAGTAAAAGCCAGATCAATCTATTCTTATTCTTGTAGGATTCCCTAGTATAAAGGTGTTTTTCTAATTCTCTTGCACCCTCTAAACCCTTGTTTCCTTTGCTTTCTTTCCTTCCTTTCCTTTTTCTTTCCCTTTCCTTTCCCGTCTTTCTTTTTCGCTTATTTCCTTTCTTTTTCTTTTTCCATTTTTTTTTTTTTTTTTTTTTTTTTAATCATTTCACCACAAACAAGGCAAAAATAACAGGGTTTATTGAAGATGAAAGAGAATGAAAAGTCATTTAGTGAGGAGAAAGAATAAAAGAACTGGCTTCAAGAAGGATGGCTATGGATATTGTGTATAAATTTTTGAAAATCCAAAGTGGCATTAAAGTAACAAATTGGAAGAGAACTCTACAGGCAAGAAAAGAAATTACTAGAATAGAACGTGTGGTTACATTCAGCATTAAAATGAGACCTAATTGCCAATCTAGTAGTACGCTTAAATTCATATAATTAAGTTACTAAGGAGAAGAGCTCAATTGAACAATTATCATAAAATACTTAAGACAGAAGGAAGTTACACCGTCGTGGTAGAAAATTGAAGAAGTTAAGATGTCAGGACTGATAACATTACAGATCCATCTTTGGATATTAACAAGAGCACCAGACCAGATATGGCAGCAATATTAATTGCAAGGACAAACAGTAGATTGGTCAATGCGCAAGATAGATTTTGGTGAGAAAAACCATCTGACACGAGGCTGTGAATCAACTTGGCATTAAAACAAGAATTGATGTTATTTTTCCAGATTTTCAGAAAACGTTTTCATACCAAATCTTCCTTGCACAGCATTTTTAACCAAAACAATAATAAAGAAAGTTAAAACTGTATAGCTAGTTTTGACTTGGTAAAAGAAATAAAATAATTCTTTAACGATAATCGAAAATGAAGGGTAGCATGTGCAATTGCAGAAAACCCTATTTATGCTCCATCAGTGGGTTTGACTTTTTATGGTTTAACAACGTTTTGTGGTGTATTTAAAGGCTGAATATAGAGATTGTAAGAATTTTTTTTTTTGGGGGGGTTAAGTGAATATTGCATTAACAATTTTTCACGATACAAGTCCTACTATTTAACATATAGATGGGGGCAAAGAGGTGGATACAAGTCATTCCCAAGGTTATATACTTACACAAATCTTTTGGAAAATTTTTCAACGATGTCAGCTGTTGGCTCTTTGTTATTATTATTATTATTATTATTATTATTATTATTATTTTTCATCCAATGTCTTTTTTCTTCCCAATCACCTCTTTCCCCATTCCCATCTTTTCATTATTATTATTATTTTTTTATTATCTGCTTCATTTCCTTTTTTTTAACCTCATCTTCATTTTCTATTTCTCCTATTTCTTCTTCCCAATTATTATTTATTATTCACCTCCTTCTTTTTCATCTTCATTTTCTATCCCCATTCACCATGTTCTTTTTCATTATTATTATTTATTTTCCTTCTTTATTATCTTCATTTTCTATTTCTTCCTTTTCTTCTTCCCATTATAACCCTCATTTCTTCATTTTCTTCTTCATTTTTACCCTTCCTATTCACCATCCATCCCCATTATTCACCATTTCCTTCTTCTCTATCCTCATCTTCATTTTTCTACTTTCTCCATTATTTAATCATTATTCTTCTTCCCATTATTATTATTATTATTCCTCTGCCTTTTCCTTCTTTTTATCCTCATCTTCTTCATTTTCTACTTCTCCATCCTATTCACCATCATCTTCTTATTATTTTTCATCATTCTTCTTCATTTTCTATTCCTATTATTATTATTATTATTATTATTATTATTATTATTATTCCTTTTCCTTCTTCTTTATCCTCATCTTCTTCATTTTCTACTTTCTCCATCCTATTCACTATCATCTTCTTCTTCCCATTATTATTATTATTATTATTATTATTTATTATTATTCCCCCTCTCCCCTGCCTTTTCCTCATCTTCTTCATTTTCTTTATCCTCATCTTCATTATTATTATTATTATTATTATTATTCTACTTTTCCATCCTATCTTCTTCACCATCTTCTTCCCATCATTATTATTATTATTGTTATTATTATTATGGACACACTACCTGCAAGTCCGGAAAGACCTAAGGCTGCCATGTTAATTTTTTTTTTTTTTTTTTTTTTTTTTTATCTCCGTTCGTTACATAGACAAAGTTCTCCTTAGTGTGTGTGCTTTTAAGACAATTTTCTGTATGTCCTCATGTGTTGTTTTGTTCTTTTTATAATTCATTTTTTTATTCCCTCCATCCTATTCACTTCATTTTCATTTCCCATCCTTTCATTCTTCCCATATTATTATTATTATTATTATTATTATTATTCCCCTCTGCCTTTTCCTTTCCCTTCTTCTTTTTTTCTACTCCTCATCTTCATTTTATTATTATTATTATTATTATTCCCCTATCCTTTCTCCATCCTATTTTCACCATCATTCACCATCATCTTCTTCCCATTATTATTATTATTATTATTATTATTATTATTATTATTATTTCTTCATTTTCTACTTTCTCCATCCTGCACTTCATTTTTCTTCCCATTATCATTATTATTTTATTCCCCTCGTTTTCCTTCTTCATTTTCTCATCTTTTTCATTTTCCATCCTCCATTCATTCACCATCTTCTTCTTCCCATTATTATTATTATTATTATTATTATTATTATTATTATTATTATTATTACCTTATTCCTTTTTTTCCTTCTTCTTTATCCTCATCTTCTTCATTTCGATTTCTCCATCCTATTCACCATCATCTTCTTCTTCCCATTATTATTATTATTATTCCCCATTTCTTCATTTTCCCTCCATCCTATTCACCATTTTCCTTCCCATTATTATTATTATTATTCTTTTTCCTTCTTCTTTATCCTCATCTTCATTTTCTACTTTCCATCCTATTCACCATCTTCTTCCCCATTATTATTATTATTATTATTATTATTATTATTATCCCTCTGCCTTTTCCTTCTTCTTTATCCTCGTCTTCTTCATTTTTTCTCCATCCTATTCACTTCATCTCCATCCTATTTCTTCACCATCTTCTTTTTTCTTCCCCTAGTATTATTATTATTATTATTCCTTTTCCTTCTTTTTATCCTCCTTCTTCATTTTTTCTCATCCTATTCACCATCTTCATTTTCTTATTTATCCATCGTTTTCCTTCGCCTTCATTTTTTCTACTTTTCCCATCCTATTCATTCATTTCTTCCCAGTTGATTATTATTCCCTCTGCTTTTCCATTTTTATCCTATCTTCATTTTCATCATCGTGTTCGCCATCTTTTCCATTGATCTTGTATCCCATCCCATCTTTACATTGTCTCCCAGTCAACAACCACCAATTTGCTTGGCGTATCAACATCTTTGAAAATTACCTAATACCTCATAAGAAATGTCATTGTATGATGTACTTATGCAGTTTAGTGTCACTTCTTATCTGATCAGATGTCACATTTATTAATCGGCCGTGACAATCAGTAAAGAAACCGAACCTGTCTCTTCTCACCTACCCGCCTCATCACTTCTTTACATCCTTATACTAATGACTGTTCACAGGCACACACACAAAGCGATCCGTTTACGTTCAAATCTCACTTCTCATTATTCTCTGAAGTTGAGTTGAATTCATGGATTATCTTGTTTCTTTAATGGTTTGTTTCCTTGTCAACTGTTCCTCACGAAAACACAAGCAATCATTTGATGCAATGTTTTATTTGTTGTCCAATGCAAGACTTGCTTATCTCACTAGCTCTTCACCCCCTAACCTTTTAGATAAATACTGTTGTTCACTCAAAAAGCCCCAAAACCACTCAATGTAGAGGGTTGCTAAATGAGGTTCTAGTAAGCGTGTAAAGGGAGGAGGTATTATGAGGATATATAGGATAAATAACGTTTGACCCTAGATTTCAAGAGTTTAAAATTGTATTCACAAGAGCAGCATCCTCTTGGAAGTGCATGAAAGATGCGAACTTATCCATTTGTTTAGTCAGTATTCTCTTTTATAAACAGGGTTTATGTTTAATAACATTTTAAAAATTAATAGAACACTCGCAAACCTTGATCAGGAACCACATCACTCAAGGATTTTTTAATATTTTAATATATATATATTTCATGTCTCATCTATAGTGGGAAGAGAAGTAAATCAATTTAAGTAAATCCATGAGTAATTATTTCTCTTACTCGTTTTAACAATTTATACAAATAGAATATTTATCTGCATTTAGACAAAATTAGTTCCTGAGAAAAATGAACCGTTTAATTAATCATTGAAATTACTCCTACGTTTCTTATATTGTTGTCTTATTTGTTCAAGTCTTTTATGTGAGGCACTCAGATACCTTTGTTTCTTAAGTGATCGTTTTGCTTCAACTTGGTTTTGAAATAGATTTGTCGTCACCGTTTTTGTCTTTCTGTTGCTAATCATTATTTTTTTCCGATAGATAATTTCATTTCACTGTTATATTAAACACATAAAATTTTTAACATTGAAAGATATCGAGCGAAAAACGATTTTTATAATACCAGGAATAATCAATGAATCATAGATACTATTAAACGTCGACAAAATATGTAAAGGAAACGGGATTAATTAAACAGTTCATTAGCCTCTATTTTAGTTGTGAATTCTTTATGTACTGTCGGGATTATCTCACCAACGAGTGAGGGAGTGGGGCAGGAAAGACGGTTTCAAGGCTTGCAACGAAAAATCTGACGTTGCTTACAAGCGAAGTCTTCCTTGTAAGGGTAACAAGTCAAATGACTAGTAACACTCGGCACTCTCCTCTGCGTAACAAGTGATCTCTACAAAGGATCTGTAGAGAAAAAGAAACTCAATTTGCGACCGAAAGTAGCACCTTTTAAACTCTCAAGGTCTCGTTCAACGTGATTCTAGGTCTCGTTCAACGTCATACGACGAGGCCAGAGCGTCTATAAAAATCGTCAATCCTTTGGCCCTGGAGAAAAAATTACTATTTTAGACGACGACGCCGCCAGAGCACATACTTCCCCCTCCCGACCTACCCGACTGAGTACAATACCTTGTTCTTTTTTTTAGTCATCATACTACCACCTTATATTGAATCTGAATAGATTGTTTCAAGAATTTTGTTTCATTGCATCTCGCTATTAATACTTTCTTGCATTTGGCACGGTGGAGTTATAGATAGCAGCTCGGATTGAGTAATCGGAGAGCCGCCAAATCCATTACATTCATTAACGTGCTAATATCCTTGAGAAAGGTATGAATACTCTTCTCCCCCTAGCTATGGGTAAATAGCAGGACAAACCTGGTTCTATAGCCTTGGATGGCAACTGGTCTACTGCAGAAATAAATGGACACCTACTGCGAGACAAAAATCTGTCTTGTCAGTCATGTATCGAAAGATACATGATCACCACGCATGGCACATTGCTGACTGAACAATTGCCATCATTTTTGACGGCACGGGGCCACTAGTTAATCTTAGTTATCCAGTCTTTCGTAAAAATGATCGTACGTTTCGCATCTTTAGAGATTACTCATTTTCGACATTGTTGGAATCTTGATGATAAATATTTGTTTCCCTTATGTTGTTATCAGAATTCTTTAAAATAACTGCAGAACTTTTATTATCGCCAGAACTTGTATTATTATCTTTTATTACCTATTGCTGTATCACGGCTATTACTACTGTTAATACATACACGCATGCGCTTTCGACGTAGAAATCTCACATATCAAAAGTTCACATACACAAAAGTGAAACTCTTTCAACATATACAAATAAAAAAAAACTTTTACATCTGGATCGTCAGAGGACTGACGATATTTCAAGTCTTCATTCGATGTTTTGTTGTTATACAACTTGTCTTATTTTCTCATTTTTTCGTAAATATTTGTGCATAAGTCGACTTAATGTGTGCGACCCCTGAATATTTTTGCATGAATTTTAACGACTGTAGAAAAAAATTTACCTGTGGAAAGTGCAACCGGTCACTGAAAATGGTTAGCCACAAATCAACGCACGTGTCGTAATTAAAAACATGAAACAGACCAGAATAAATCCACTCCGGCTCTGAATCAACTAATTAATCAAGATCGGCTGACAGATGGTCGTTATCCTCGTCAAAATTCTTTGTCATCAAGTTTGCAAACAAAACATCGACAAATTTATTGAATCATTTTAAAAGCCTTTAACCTTTTTAAAAGAATTACCTGTGTATAGTACGATTCCCTATTTTTAACTTTAAAAAATGATCATAAAACCTCGTACTATACTCTAGTGTATATGTTAAATAAATTCGTGGAAGAATTTCAAATTCACGCTATTTATATTTGGACATTTTTTTTTTATCATTTCACCCAAGACAGGGCGGTAATGCCACTAGAACTCAGGGAGTGAAAGTGAATCAGAAGACTGAGAATAGAAAGGATTGAGAGGAAAGACAGAAAAGTAACAGAATCCAAGAAGATAGATGACGATTGACGTTGCATTTAATTTTTTGAAGGTTGTAATTATCAGGGAAGCAAGAAAATGGAAGCGAGATCTACAGAGGGGAAATGAGAAAAGAAACTGTTGGAGAAGAAGTGGCGGTTGGATTTGACTATTTCAACAGTAAAATGGTGGGACCTAAATGCCAATCTAGTAGCACATTTAAATTCATGCAATCGGAGCACCAGGAAAAAAAAAAACGTTATTATCTCCGGCCTTCATCAGAGTATATCGATCCGAATAACGAACAGTGAATTCTAAACTGAACCCACTATTTAATCTATGGGGATTGATATTTCTCTTTCTACTGTCTATTTCTACAGATATCTCATCTAGTTCTTATTTTTAGTACTGTTCAGTTTTTGCTCGCCTTCTTTCCAATGAGTCCAAGTACACACTGCCCGGCCCAGGAATTGAACACACAATTACTATGTCGCCAAATTCACGAACCAGCGTTTAATCCGCTAGATCATTGTACTGTGGGCCGGATTTGATTATTTAATGGCACATCAACTCCTTATGGGTCATTTAATACCGAAATTTAATTTTGCGGAGAGATATAAAGTAATAAAAATATGATGTTATTCTGCTTTCGTAGTTGAGTACATGGTAGATGATACTCAGATCAGGAGTCCGTACGATATAATTGTAAAGAGATATAATACATCTTATCAGAAATATAGAGAGATCGAAACATTGCTATAACAATAGAGTTGAACTGTTATATAATATCACTTCTGCGGGCGATTTCTTGATGCTGTCGGCCTGGGAAGGTGATCCCAGCAAGTGGCACCATTGGAAACTGTCTGAAAATTATACCACGGGTTGACCCAAGCTTTATTACTGAAATTGGATAGATAAAATGCTTCGTCAATGGCTGTGTTAGCAAGAAATCACGAGTCATCCTTGCCAAGGGTTTGAGCGTACTGATCTGGTTCAAGCTGTTTATCACGCCAGACTATGAACACTCTCGCAGAATCTTTAACTAATCTCTACTCGGCGTAATTATAGTATAGACCACGGTAAGCTCTGTGGGTGTTGAACAAACACAAATGTGGCCGAGTACACAGGCAGAGTCGGTAACAAGCGGTTTGCAATCAGATGGCTATCTCTTCAAAGATAAAAGGACTAGAGCTAATAGAAATTTGGTTCTACAGAAGGATGCTGAGAATACCATGAACCTGAACACATGAATAATGATTTTTTTTCCGGTAAAATGGAAGCAAAAATAACATCTCTACTTCGAATCATAATATTGAATGAATTCTTGGAGAATCTGACACTCAGATGACATATCGAAGGTAAGAGAAAACAGCGTGTAACCTACCTAACAGTTTTGTATAAATGGATGGTAAAACTAAGGATACGAACAATGGTGATTGGTTTGGTTTATTTTGTTTTACGGCACATCAACCTCATTGGGTTATTTAATACCAACAAAATTTTTTATTGCTGGTAATATTTTGTTTTGTCAAAAATCTGTCTCTGGTAATATTTTTCCTTCAAAATTGTATTGCTGGCAATAATTTTTTCAAACAAGTATTGCTGGTAATAGTTAATCATTTGCCCATAGCTGGGACCCTAACAGGTGCTACCACCCCTAGTCAGGGTGGACCTGGGAGCACCAGCAATTAATCAAAACCTCCTGATCAGTCCTTGCTGCTGCATGTAGTTTATCGTCTTACCCAGGACGAGGATGTAGTTTAACGTCTTACCCAAGACGATGAATAATGGTGATGAGACAAAAGAAAAAAAAATAGGAAGTTGTAGAGAGCAATGATCGCCCGCCCATTTCCTGAAGGGAGACGGAACGTAGAA